CGAATGAGTTGACAGTAGCCGCTTTGCAAATCCTTTGCTGAATGCAAACATTGATGGCAGCGGACTGCCCGGAAGATTTTCATTGAGATGCGAACATCTCGTTAGAACTGACCTGACACTGAAACGACTGCAAACTGAACAAACATTTATTCGGTCTGGGTGAATTGCTTTTGCGGCACATGACGTGTCATTCATGCACTGGAATAAGTGGAATAAGTAGGGGACGAAGCCGGATCAGGCGGCGGCTGTGATATTTTCGTACTAGTTTTGGCCATTAAAACATACCTGTAGCCAAAATGAGCATCAACTCATTCAGATTTCTGTCTGATGAATGATGACTGTTTCAGTCCATCCGCTCTGAAGCCGTAAAACAGGATTTTGATAATTTATTTGTTCTCTAGACGGCTCAAATGGCAACGCGACATTTCTTCTTTGTCCTCTTCGTGGTGATCCATAAAAGGACTTAAAGTTTGCAAGGAAACGAAGTTATACTTTGTCATTTGATCGATTGCTTGCTTACATGTCTTTCGGTTCGGTCAGTGGTGAGCGTCCGGATCGACTGTCATTCCGGCATTAGCTCTCGCCGTTACTATCTTGCATGACGGCTTGCACTCGAATGCCTTCATGTTTCATTCGATTCTCTAGTTGCATAATCTTTCCAATAGGCACCGCTACTTGCAGATCAATAACTGAATGCTGCTTTTGTGTGTACGCTCAGATGTCTGTGATTGACCCATCGCTTGCGGTGTTCGTCGCCGTCTTCAGCGACTTTCTCTGGCTATAACGCTGGCATGTCTTTGCTGTGTCGTCTCATTTTCTGTCATTGTTTAAGTTTTCGGCATCCGCCCAGGTTTTTTTTGCTTTGGCTCTTCTTCGTACTCTTGTGCCAAAAGTACATGTTTGCGTGTAAATGGTGTTCATTTGTTTTACAGAACGTTTTCACTTTATCCGGAGACCGTTTATCGGCGTTATGAGTTGCTTCTTCTCGTCAAGCGGTGAGCGTTCAGGAAGTACGTTTATGGTTTAAGCCTTCTTCTTGTTCTTCTTCTTCTTTTTCTTCTTCTTCTCGATGGCACATCTCATATTTATGCTTCCTTGCGTTGCCCATGCTTTTCATTACGTTCAGACGGTGAACGTCGGTGACGGGTGGCTGAATGACTGATTCGCTC